TGACAGGGGCGCCAGCCTGGGCATCTTATCGCTGCTCTACTTTCTACAGCAGCTGGGACTTTGGTCTCCCACTGGATTACTCATTGTCCTTGAATACGGTTTATGAGGGTCCTTATCAGGAACTGGTGAAAAGTCCTGAGGCTGTACCCCAGGGCTCAGGCAGCAGGGCCAGGGAAGGGGCTCGGCACCCACTGGCACTGGGGAGACCCATGACAGCTCTGTGTCCCGTTGGGGCTCCCGGGGCATGGCTGACACAAGTAGCAGGAGCGGGGCTGGCCAAGGGGCTGGTGGCCAGGGCAGGCAAAGAGGGGCTGTGAGCGGTGGGGTGGTAAAGCTGGGGATGCGACGGCAAAGCAGGTTCCTTGCTGGCTGCCCAGGGGGGCTAGAGAGACATTGGTGCCTGTCTCTTCTCAAGGGGCCCTGGAGCAGGGTGAGAGGCAGTGGCACTGGATGCATAAAGGCAAATTCCAGTTAAATAGTGGGGAAAATATTGTCAACATGAGAACGTTTCAAGCACTGGAACAGGTTGGCCAAAGTGGTTGTGAAGCCTCCATCCATGGTCTCTTCCAAACTATGCCCTGGCAATCGCATGAAAACATGGAGGTCTCTGGCCATTCTCTGCTCAGGGCAGGACCGGTGTTTCACCAGGTTGCTCAGGGCTTGGTCCAGTCATGTGGCCATCTCTTTGGTTGGCCCTTCGCCATCACAGGGGTGCCCAGAGGGCTCCTATTCAGCTCCTCTGGGTCCATTTCTGTGTAAACCCTGTCTTGCCAGCCATCCCCAACCTGTCTGGCTGCACGAGATCGCACGGTCCCACCTGTTGGACTTCACATTTTGTCTGTGTTGAACTTCAGGAGGTTCCCATCAGCCCATTACTCCAGCCGGTTGAGGTCCCCACTCATCCTCAGCTCCCCACAATTTGGCATCAGCATCAATGCACGATGGGCTGTGCTATCTCCCCCAGCCCCGTTTTCAGTCCAGCCCCTGCACATCCCAGCCCAACAGATGTGTTCGGCTGTTTGGGGAGACCCCTGAGGCAGCTGGACAGGGATGGAGGCTCAGAGGGCTGTGATATGGGGTCACTCTGGGCCCCTTCTCACTTGTGTGGGGTGGGTGGCTTGGCTTGGGAGCAAAGCACGAGGTGGGGAAGCAAAACAGATTGATTCCTTGGTTTCCCTAATGGCTTGGCGACCCGCCAGGGTCCCTGTCTGGAGAACAAGCAGGCAAGCAGCAACACCCAACCCACCGAGAGCAGGTAGCGGCAGGTTGTAGGACCGGATAGGAAACAGGAGCCCACAAACTCATCCAGCCATGATGGGGGCCATGCCTCCGGCGTGCCCCCCGCCTGGCACCCCACGCCGTGATGGGCAGCTGGGAACAAGACAGGACGCGCCTGTAAAGGGGGGCTTGCAGCTTACAGGAATCCCCCACCCTCCCACTTCTCCATCACCCAGCCCTCTGCCGGCTGGTGGGCTGCCTGCCAGGCTGGCGGAAAAATCGAAAGCAAAGTGGAGATAAATAAGAGCAATCTCGGCACGAGGCAGCAGTGCGCGTCCTGCTCTCCAGCCTTGCTGAGCTCAGCACTCGCGGCACCCACCATGGCTCTGCGCCTCCTCCCGCTGCTGCTCCTGCTGGCTGCTGCCCTCCTCATTGCCCAGGGCCAAGGTGAGGGGGGGGGAGCCCTCCTGCCTGCCTGCAGGTCGACGGGGCAGGGGGTCTCTGCGGGGGTCTGTGCAGGGCGCTGGGTGGTGGGGTTGCAGTGCACGGTGGGTGCTTGTGGTGCATTTGGGTGCATGCATGGCTGGGGGTTTGCAGTGCAGAGGTGTGGGGGGTGGGTGTGTGTGCACGCCGGGTTGGTGTGCGGTGCTGGCTTGCAGTGCTTGCTTGGTCTGGGAGCGTCTATGTGTGTGCACGTGGCTGGTGGGGCAGTGGAACTCGGAATTGAACGGTGCAGGCAGGAGAATGAGGTTGAGTCCCTTTGCAAGGAGCCCATCTCTGCCTCAGTTTCCCCTCCACTGGCAGTGAAATTGGTGTCACATGTCCCCAGGGCAGGGTCCGACCTGCAACCGGGTACTGGGGCTGAGACCTCCCACCCTCCTGTGCTGCCCCAGCATCTCTCCAACATGACACCAAGCAAGCCCTTTGCCCTCAGCCAGCCATGCTGTGTTCCCCCAGGGAAGGGAAGGTGCCCTGGCTTGGTGAGGGTTCAAAATCCCACATCCCCCTTCTTGCCCCCAGGCATTGGCAGCTCAGCCTCGGACTGCTGCCTGAAGAACAGCAAGAACGCCATCCCCAGCCGCTCGGTGAAGTCCTACAGACTGCAGGGACCCGAGTCGGGATGTGTGCTGCGTGCTGTCGTGTAAGTACCTCGCTGCAGCTGGGACCATCCGGAGCAGTTTGGCTCCAGCCAAGCCCTCCCTCCCCATTTCCTCCCCCCTGCCCACCTCCCAGCCAGCCTTTCTGCCTGCACCCTCAGGTTTACCACCAAGAGGAATAAGAAAATCTGTGCCTCTCCCACCAACCCCACCGTCCAGAAGCTGATGCAGAACCTCGACAATAAGGTGAAGAATGACAAGAAGGACAAGAAGAAGAAGCATTCCCCCCGTTCCGGGGGCAGACCCAAGGAGCAGAAGACGCAGCAGGTCTAAGTCAGGCCTGAAGAGGAAGGCAGAGGGGAGCAGGAGGCAGCAGGGTGATGGGTTGAGGGTGCTGCCCCCTATCCCAGATCCTTCCTTGTGGGTGGGTGGGCGTCCAGCTCCCAGGGCCAAGCCTGGGAGGGCTGCCAGAGCCATGGCTCAGAGCATGGAGGCACTTAGGGCACAGCTAGCTCCCTCCTGGTCTGGGCTTGCCTTAAAATCAGATTTCTTTCTGGAGCTGCTGGGGCAAAGCAATGCTTAGGGACTGGTAAGGCATGTCATGCAAGGCAACTGCCCCCCAGCTGGGGTGGGCACTCTTGCTGAGGCCCCCTCCTTGCCTTCCTCTCCCCCAGGACGGACGCCTTCCCCACCGATGACCGACCCACTGCCTGGCAATGGACATCCGCAGACTGCCCACCAGCCCCGGGGCGAGGATGGGGCTGGCCGAGGGGGCTGCCCTCTGCTCCGCAGCCGGGCACCCAGGTCCTCCCTCTCCCCATGGCCATGCCAGTGGGGACCTGGACCCGTGTGGGAGCTGAGCCATGGCCCCGAGGGGGAAGTGGGCAGCCTTCCCACCAGAGGGGATTTCTGTAGCCTGGCAAGATGGCAGCTTTTCCTATGAATTTTTGGGGGATTTTATAGATATGTATTTATATTTAAAGACTGTGCTTTCATTCAGTCTTCCTGGAGGGCTCTGCTTCTGGCTCCTTGTGCTTCACAGAATACCCTTTATGCTGCAGGCTGGCTTTTCTAGAAGATTGCTCTTATTTTTCCACCAAATAAACGATGGCTGTGTTTCATTTCCTTCTCACCTGTTCACTCCTTTTCAGCTTGCAGGGCTGTGGGGTGCCAGGCAGGTCCCATGTCCCCGTGGTCCTGCCCAGGCTGCTTGCTGGGTGCTTTTTCGCAGGGCAATTAATAGCGGCTGAGATGGAGAGTTTGGGCACAGCGGGGGGGTGGCAGTGTGGCTGTGCAACTGGGCTGTTCTAGGCTTTCCCTCTGGCTTTTATAGTGCACTGTTGCAGCGTAGTTTAGAGGAAGATAGTCAGGGTTTGTCCCTTTGATTTTTAATTTTATTTTTTTAGGCACAAAACTGCAATGAAATCAGAACAAATTGTCAATTTTAGTGGCATTTTACCCTTTTATCTCTATCAGCAGCTCTATCGCAAACCTGTAGTAAAATGAGAAGTCACTAACTCTAGAACACCATTAGGTCAGACTGCAAGTAGAAGGGGCACAGGTCCCCGGGACAGGGCTGGCGGGAAAATGGCATCTCCCTGCGCTCGCAAACTCCCTCCAGTGTGCTGAGATGAAGCAAGCTGATGGGCTGTCCTGCAGCTGCAGCGCTATCTGCTTACAGAGACTTCAGACGTGGACTTTGGTCAGTAAAGGTCTATTAGGTCATATAATTGCAATAATAAGCTTTGCGGGGCTTAACAGTATCAGCAAAGGCTGTGTGTTGGCTGGAGTAAAGCTGGCTGCTGCGTGTTTCTGTTACGTGTGTTTATCTGGCTTGATTGCTTTATTAGGCGAGTGTTTAGGTCTATTATTTTAAGGCTGTGTAAAGAAACTGTGAAGTCCAAGATACCGGCCCTGAGTATAGGATGGGCACTGAGCTGGCTCCGTGTTGCCCCCTCCTTCACATGGGAGCACACGGCTGTCTGCCAGACCAGCTTTTGGATAGGATGCGAGACAATAAAATATATCCTTTACAACCAAAACTCACTCGTTCTGGCTGTTGTGATGGGCTTTGGTGGGGCAGGAAGGGCTGCATGGGGGGGTTTCTCTCCTGCCCCATGCACCGTCATCCCCCAGGTCCTGCCTTCTGCAGCCCCCCCGGGCGCTGCGTCCCTGGGGTGCAGGGTCTGGGAGCTGCTGGCATGGGATGGGGGGACCGTGCAAGTCCCCTCTCCTGCAGCTGTGTTGCCCAACAAGGTGAAGCTGTGCTGTTTGCTCAGCTGTCCCCACCAACAGGTTCCAAGGTGCCAGCAAACACAGGAGCACAAAACAGTTTCATACATGGTGTCTTTTGCTGGCGGCCGAGCCTGTCTCTCCAACTCTGACTGTCCCCGGGCAAGCACTTTGCTCAAAGCAGGGGCTCTGTCTCCATGCTGCTTTGGGAAAACAGCATTAAATCAAGTTATTAATGAAGCTGTGCTCTGGCCTGCGTTTTGGTGGGAGCCTGGGAACTGACACCCACGCACCGGGAGTTAGACGGGGCTGCCATGGGAGGGCTGGAGCTTGCTGGGGACGCACTGCATCCAGCGCTGCGAGGCTGGCCCTGCCTTCTGCAGGACTCCTTGTTGTGCTGGTCGCGGTGACGGGATTGTGAAATGATTGCAAAAACCCCCTAGAAATGAGGCCCAGCCGAATATGTCTGCAACCACAAAGAGCAAAGCATGAGCAGAAGGCAGGAGCGAGCCAGCACGTGAAATGTATCCTGATGTCTCTGTGGCTGTAAACACCTCACAGGCAGTTATTTTCCCCTCAGATGCTAGGTGGGCCTTAGGCTAAGACAGGTTAAAAAACATGCATATGAGGGTGCTCTGATTTTCCCTAAACTTTACCCTGAAAACAGAACTTATGGAAGAGCACCAGAGTTTGTCCCATGCTTGGGCACTGATATTGGTGCAGGAAGGCATGTGTGAGCGCAGAAACGGATGAACAAATGCAGCCTCGCATGTGCCCGTGCCTGCACACACACCGGCATTTGCACACTGCTTCCAGTTTTCCTGCAGAATGCTGCTTTTAAGGAAAAATCACGTGTCAGGGTTAGTGGGAGCCTCTTGCTAGCAAGGCAAGTGGCTGCAGTGCTGCATGGTGAGGTGGCACCAGGCAAACACTTCCGAGGAGATTCCTTAAGAGAGGCTGAAGGGACAGTTGATGGGTTGGGATCTGGAGCACGCAGCAGGGGCCAAAACCCTTTCCCCATCGAGGAGGTGAATCCACGGACCCCAGCTGAGACAAGCAATGTAAAGACAATGCCCCGTGACGATGCTGCAGTGAAGCAGCAGATGATTCACACAGTTGTACCCCATGGCAGGGCAAACCTGCTGCTTCATCCCATGTGCACCGAGAGGGCAGGGTTGATGCAGTGTGTGCCCGGGGCAGTAGGTGTGCAAGGGCTGCACAAGCTCCCCCTCCTCCCCCCCATTTTGCAGGGAAGGCAAGAAAACTGCACCCATGTCAAGCAGAGCAAAAATTTAGGAGGGCTCGGCCACCCTGGAACAGAAAGGCTTTAGCCGCAGCAGAAAGTAGCCAGGAAAGACAGAAACCTCAGAGTGCAGCCAAAAAAAGAAGGGAAATTTTGAATGTGGGCCAAATTATTAGCTCAAGTCATGAGCGCAGATGGCGCTCCGGGCTTGTGTCGGCAGCGGAGTGCGCTGGGCTGCAACGCCGGGCTGAGCTCCAGCGAGGCTCACCTGGAGGCATGCACAGCAGGTCTGTCCCTCTGCCCCGCGCCGTTCCCAAGAAGCAGGAGCCAGCTACGCTGTAGCAGCCCCGTGAGTGCCAAGGGCTGCTTCTGGGGCCGCGTGGGTGCTGGAGGGGCTGTGGTTTCCAACTGAAGCTTCAAGGTGTTTTTTGGTGCTGTGTCTATCAACACTGCCTTCCTGGGGTCTGCCATGGTCTTGAGAGCAGAGAGGAGGTGGAGAAGTGGCTGGTGGGTGATAGGGACTCCCACCCTTCCTGTCCCAAGGTGTTCCCCAGTCCCAGCCATCCCTTGGTGGCCATCCTCTCCTAGAGGTGCCCAGCCCAGAGCCTCCTCTCAACCCTTTCCTTGCCTACATGTCGCT